CCAAAATAAATTTACCCAGAATCCTCTTCCCTAACTAGGAGGGTGATGCATACAGCTGTGCCCAATTTTTGCATCTCTTTATCTGTCATCCCCCCCCCCCCCCCCACACACACACACACACACACACACTCATCTCTTTCTAGAGGTAATCATCTTGGCGTGATAGGAGACGGTGCCATTCCTTTGCTGAGCACAACCCCTATTTGAGCTGTACTCATTTTATTTCAGTAGATCCTCCAGAGTGGCTTCTATACCTTTTCAGACCTCGGAGTATCTTTGTGACAGGGGTGACTTTGGGTGGGGGGCCCATGGAACACAGCTCACTTTGGAGAGGTGGGGAGACCCCTGTCTCAGCTCCCCATATCCCTTGTATGTGTAAGCCACCCTGTGCCTGTTAGGGGTACAGGGTGATCTGTCCTAATATTGTGTAGACATGTATAGGTGGGGGGTGGGGGGTGGGGGGTTGTCCATTGTTCACTGCCATGCTGCTGCATCCCATTGTTCTATTATATGGCTTGCTTGAGAGCAAACTATTATGGGATGTATGGGTTTGTGTATTGTTTACTTACTGCCATGTGGTGTATCCCATATTATGTTTGTGCTGGTTTGGTGGTGGGTGTTTCCGGCAGCCCTTCCCCCTGATGGGACGGCCTGCTGATGTGTTTCCTGTTACTGGATGTATTTCCCCGCCCTGTGTATACATCTTGTATCTATGTAAAAAATAAAGCAGTCTATTTCCTGTCTTTCATACTGGTGCTGTTTCGTCTTGTATGGCCAGCGGTGGTGTCCGTGGATCTGTGTCCGGACAGGGAAGCGGGAGTCTAACGAAAATACCCTAGTGCAGTCGGGGTCCAGTTCCGGTACAATCTTCAGTTATTAATGGAGGAAAAAGGTAACTCTGTTATACAATGTATCTTTCTTTTTATATTCACAGGTAACATAAATGAATAGGACGCCTATAGGAATTCACAAATTACATTTTGTTTCTGAGTAAACTAAAGTCAAATAATTCTTTACCACTCATGTGATCTGAAAATGGTTGTAAAAGTTCTGAATTTTTTTTTTTTTTCCAATAACCATATCATACTTACCTGCTGTGTGCAGCCCTGATCTTCCTCTTCTCCTGGGTGCTCCAGGATCCTTGCCCCTAGAGCAGGGGTGTCAAACTCCATTTCATCGTGGGCCATATCAGTATTATGGTTGCCCTCAAAGGGCCGGTTGTGTCTGTAAGACTAGATGTCCAGAGCACCCCCCCCCCCCATTACATCAGATGTCAAGAATCCCACACCCTCCCTAACATCACCGTGCACCCTCTTTGGAGGCAGATCTGAAAAGCAGAAAGTGCAGGGTCTGGAGGAGGACCAGAGGAGGAGTGGAGTCAGTTACCAGAGTCTGCTGAATGTTGAGACCAGGGGGTGCTGCAGCTGCACTGAGCGGTGCAGGATTTAGCAGAGAAGTTCGATTCTCTTCTCTGCTGCCGACTGCTGCTGAGACAAGGTAGGGATGGAGACAAGGGGGTACCTGCGGGGGAGGTGCAAGGGCAACAGGAAATGGCCGGGAGGGCTGGATTCGGCCCATGGGCCTTGTGTTTGATAACTGTGCCCTAGAGCAAGCTGTTTGCTCTGGGGGAACTCATGCGTGCTCACCCGCGAGCCACTGATATGTGTGTCTATGAGTCAGAGTATGGTTCAGCCCCGCATCCCCCCCCCAAACCTTCAGGCCAGGGGCGGACTGACCATTTGGAAACTCGGGCACTGCCCGAGGTCCCCGGGTCAGTAGGGGGCCCCATGAGATGCCCCTGGTACCTTTTTCATAGGCTTTTTTGAGTTTGGGCAAGGACACAGGGACCCCATGATCCCCTATTGCCCGGGGGTCCCATGAGTTGTCAGTCTGCCCCTGCTTCAGGCTTTGAAACCACTTAAAGACAAGGCAGCCTATTACATCAGCATCGCATGTAGCAAAATAGCTGGAAACTCATTTCTTCATCAAAATGTCTTTATTGGCGGCACACATAAGAAGATATAAAATCCATGATACTGACGCATTTCGGCCACAGACTTTCTCAAAGCTCTCTCGAAACGCGTCAGTGACATGGATAAAATCCAATAAAGACATTGTGATGAAGAAAAGAGTTGCCGGCTATTCTGCTACATATTCTGGATTGAAAGGTCAGCCTGAGCACCAGCCTCCCCCCCCCCCCCCCCCAACTCACATTTCTCTGCTCAGCAGTAGAGCGTGGGGGAGTTTTCTTTGTGTGTGCCATCAGCATTGTGCCTTCTTTTTGTGGATCATTAGTGACTGGTGTAGAATTATTCCCCCTGAGGTCATCACAGAGGACAAGGGGGCGCTCTTTACATCTGGAAGAAAAGAAATGCAATCTCCAAACACGGAAAGGTTTCTTCACAGTAAGAGCTGTGAAAATGTGGAATAGATTCCCTCCAGAGTTGGTTGTGGCCAGCTCAGTGGATTGCTGTAGGAAAGTCCTGGATTGTTTCTTGGATACACAGAATATAACTGGATATAACATTTATAGGTAAAGTTGATCCAGGGAATATCCGATTGCCTCTCGGGGGATCAGGAAGGGAATTGTTTTCCCTGCAGGAGCAAACTGGATCGTGCTTTGCTGGGTTTTTTTTTTGCCTTCCTCTGGATCAGCTGGGGGTGTAGGATTATAACTTTTTTTTAATGGTTGAACTGGATGGACTTTTGTCTTTTTTCAGCCAAAATATGATATATTTTTTTTCCGATCAAGGTGTTTCATGAAAAATACTGCATTACGGCCACTAGATGGAGCTGAAGATCATAGAAAATCTCTGTGTTAAAACCTAACTCCAGGTTTCTCTCCCTCTTTAAATAGTTCTTTTGGGCCAAGCTAGCCGGAACAAACCAAAGCAGGCAGTTGCTGTCAGCGCTGTATAAACTTTATCTGCATCATCTAGCTCTTTCCTCCCCAGCCTGACAGTCCCTGGCCCGCCCCTTTTATTCATTGGATTTCAGTTTGTTGAATCGCTGAGGCGTGGCATCACATGTTGGCGTTACCTAGGGTGGTTTGCATGCAAGGACATCCTGTCTAGGAATGCCTGTTCTTCTAGATAGTTGCAGGGCAAGTTCTTCCAGTGCCCAAGACAAGGATTTGGAACTGTATCCCCCCCTCCCCCCAGTGCTAATGCATGCTGCAGAATGGATGCCTGACCTGCGCCCATTCTTTGCCCCTGATGACCATAGTTGGCATGGAGTGTGCCCGGCACATGTGTGGTCAGTCACTTTCTAGCAGCTAGCCGGGTGGTTATGCATGCATGGGGTGTTTCTTGTGTCAGCTGTGGGGTGGAGAGGGAACCTGTTGGAGCACAGCGTATGAAGTTGTGACCCATTGGTTGGCAGCCACTAATCTGAATGCAAGCCAAGGAAGGGGGTGCCCCCTCTACCCTGTGCCCAGGGCAACCGCCCCTCTTGCTCACCCTTGTCTTGGCCCTGGTCCCTGGCTCTCTCTGCTTTCATTCATTGGATTTTAGTTCTGTCAGTCATGGAGGCATCACATGTGGGCGGCCTGCAAGCAAATGGCCCTCCTACTATCCCAGACTGACTCCCACCCATCAAGGCATGCCAATATTTACACAACCCCTCCCACTGCTTTCATCAAAGTTGGGGCTCTTGAGAGGAGTACTGAGGCAGGGTGCTGTGATGTTTTCAGGAAGCTATTTACAGTACCCTTCCGGCGCCTCCCACCAGCCATGATCTGCCTGTATTGCATAGAAAAGCTCAGACACCCAGTGATGACATCACCGGCTCTTAACCAGTTGCCACCCGGCCTATAGCCAGAGCCAGATGGGTGGACGCCATGTGGTGTCCTTTCAGGAAAGCGAACAGCTCATTCCTGCGGTGCGGTGGCCCTGTATGTCAGACACGGCCGATGACAGATCTGTGTACTGGTCCCGTTGCCAGTACCATGTGACCTGCTGTGACCAATCACAGCAGGTCACATGACAGTTGTATACAATGGATGGCTTCCTTTCATGCCATCCATTGTATACAAGTGTGTCTAGCTGTGAATAAAACACAGCGATCACATGCAGAAGCTGGGCCAATCACAGCTCATCTGTGTCATGTGATTAACCGTGGCCAAATCACAGCTAAGCACAAAAAAAAAAACCCCTGAATGAATCGATGTCATTCAGGCAAATGCTTGCTTATAGCAAAGTAATTCTTTGCTATAAGCAAATTGTGTAAAAAAAAAAAAAAAATGTATAGATCACTTCCCCAAAGTAGTACAATGTTACTATGGTAACATTACCTACTACTTTGGTCACAGCTGAAATATGAAAAACCGAAAATCTTAAAAAAAGAAAAAAAAAATTAATAAAAAATGTAAAATAATTAAAAAATAAAAAAAAAAAAATTAGAAAAAAAAAATTATATGTTTTTTTTTTTTTCGTACTGTCACCAGTCAGTGTCCCTGATCACCGCCATTTCCCCAGTTATATGATGATGCTGTATTGCACTGGTGACAGTATGTAAAAAAAAAAAAAATAGTGCAAATATATTTTTCAAGCGAAATTTCTTCATTTTCCGAAAACTTATGACAAAAAAAATTACAACTTCAAAAAACTCGCCATGCCTCTTATGAAATACATCGGACTGTCTACTTTGCAAAAAGGGGTCATTTGGGGGATAGTTATATGATGTACTGTCCTGACATTTGGAGGGATATCTGTACTGTTCTGACATTTGGGGGATTATCTTGTACTGTCCTGACATTTGGGGGATATCTGTACTGTCCTGACATTTGGGGGATATCCATACTGTTCTGACATTTGGGGGATATCTGTACTGTCCTGACATTTGGGGGATATCTGTACTGTCCTGACATTTGGGGGGTATCTGTACTGTCCTGACATTTGGGGGATATCTGTACTGTGCTGACATTTGGGGGATATCTGTACTGTCCTGACATTTGGGGGATATCTGTACCGTCCTGACATTTGGGGGATATCTGTACTGTCCTGACATTTGGGGGATATCTGTACTGTCTGACATTTGGGGGATATCTGTACTGTCCTGACATTTGGAGGGATATCTGTACTGTTCTGACATTTGGGGGATATCTGTACTGTCCTGACATTTGGGGGATATCTGTACGTCCTGACATTTGGGGGATATCTGTACTGTTCTGACATTTGGGGGATATCTGTACTGTCCTGACATTTGGGGATATCTGTACTGTCCTGACATTTGGGGGATATCTGTACTATTCTGACATTTGGGGGATATCTGTGCTGTCCTGACATTTGGGGGATATCTGTACTGTCCTGACATTTGGGGGATATCTGTACTGTCCTGACATTTGGGAGGATATCTGTACTGTTCTGACATTTGGGGGGGATATCTGTACCGTTCTGACATTTGGGGGATATCTGTACTGTTCCTGACATTTGGGGGATATCTGTACTGTTCTGACATTTGGGGGATATCTGTACCGTCCTGACATTTGGGGGATATCTGTACTGTCCTGACATTTGGGGGATATCTGTACTGTTCTGACATTTGGGGATATCTGTACTATTCTGACATTTGGGGGATATCTGTACTGTCCTGACATTTGGGGAGATATCTGTACTGTCCTGACATTTGGGGGATATCTGTACTGTGCTGACATTTGGGGGGATATCTGTACTGTGCTGACATTTGGGGGATATCTGTACTGTCCAGACATTTGGGGGATATCTGTACTGTGCTGACATTTGGGGGATATCTGTACTGTTCTGACATTTGGGGGATATCTGTACTGTTCTGACATTTGGGGGATATCTGTACTGTTCTGACATTCTTGGACCTGAAGAAATTAGATTGGCTGTCAGTACTTCAGGATTGATCAATATTCAGATATATCCCATAGTTTGTGAACTCTATAACTTTCCTACAAACTAAATAATACATCCTAATTTGGGTTATTTTCACCAAAGACATGTAGCAGAATACATCTCGGCCTAAATTTATGAAGAACAATTATTTATTTGCCAATTTGTATAACAGAAACAAAGAAAAACGTGTTTTTTCTAAATTTTTGGTCTATTTTTGTTAATTTAGCAAAAAATAAAAACCCCAGTGTGTGATTAAATACCACCAAAAGAAAGCTCTAGTTGTGTGGAGAAAATGATAAAATTTTAGTTTGGGTACAATGTTGTATGACCGCGCAATTGTCATTCAAAGTGTGAGAGCGCTGAAACCTAAAAATTGGCCTGGGCAGGAAGGGGGTAAAAGTGCCCCCGGTATGGAAGGGGTTAAATAAGGTGTGTAATAAAACAGAAAGATTTTATTTAAACATTTTATTAGCAAAGAGCGAAAGGAAGAACCAGAGAAGGCGAAATATAAGCTGATTCATCAGCTTGAATGCAATAATAGATGATCTTTGTAGCCATTCCCAGCGAGTTCCCCTGAATTCATCTTCTCGTATTGTGTTCAGTTGGATCACCGCTAACTGTTTCCTGTAGAATGTATCAAGTGAGGGATGGAGAAACAAGAATTCGATCAATGCGCTCCATTCATGTGAATGTATCGCACACCGTCATTGTGATACATCTACAATGTGTTGTTGACATTTCCATTTTCTCCGGAGTCAGCCGCATAGACTGGAAGAGGGTTGTCAATGTAACAATCCGCTGCCAGGAAGAATGGGCGACCTTGGCAGGAAATCAGAAAGAGAGAATATGGAGGATTCATTTCTAAAGACAAACCAAAAGATTCTTCTGGCTGTGAAGGGGATGTGCGAGCGTCAATGGAAAGATTCCCCAATAGGAGACCTCAAGTGTTGCCCAAACTTTGGGGCTGATTTACCAAAGGCAAATAGACTGTGCACTCTGCAAGTGCAGTTGCTTCAGAGCTTAGTAAATGAGCGGAAGCTCTGCTGACTTCCATCATCCAATCATGTGCCAGCAAAAATGCTGTTTTTTTTTTTTTTCCTTGCATGTGATTGGTCATTCTTTGCAAAGTGTTCTGTCTCTCCAATCTAAGCATTGTAAGTGTGATCTCTGTAACTTACAGTTGTGATGAGATAGCGATAACTCCAATCTTAGTTGAATATCACAGGCAGTGACTCGATCCAGATGACACCTTGTAGATCTTGTGAAGTTTATTCCATAAACTGTGAGAATCTTACAACAATGAACATCGGATAGGTCAAAAGATCATAATGTGATCTGCTTCATGACAAGAGGCTTGAAGCTGAAATGCATTACTGGGAAAAGGGGTGGGGCTATCTATACAGCATGAACTAAACCAGAGGAATGGGAGGAGCAGAGACAAAATACAAAGAACACTTAAAGGCATATGACAGTCATGTGAAACATGACACAAAGTGAAGCTTCATCTCATGTACTAAGCTCTGGAGCAACTGCACTTGCAAAGTTCACAGTCTATTTGCCTTTAGTAAATCAACCCATTTGCATTTTGTTTTTTTGGTTAGGGTTGGGTTAGTAGAACCCCTGCCATTTTTTTTTATTGCTGTCTGTGACCCCTTTGTGGAGATTTGCTTTCACTTTCTGTTCATTCTGACATTTGTCAACTGGACAGGAAGTGAAAGGAAAGCTCTCTTGTGGGGACACAGCACAAGCACATTGCAGGGGTTCACACACTTTCTCATTCTACAAGAATAAGATATTTTGTTGCTGTTTGTTCCGTCATTAAGTAGATTGTGGATGGAGTTTAAAGCGATACTAAAGGTTCAGGTTTTTTTAAATAACATACATGTCATACTTACCTGCTCTGTGTAATGGTTTTGCACAGAGCAGCCCAGATCCTCCTCATTTCCGGTCCCCCTCTGGGCACTCCTGGCTCCTCCTTCCTGTTGGGTGCCCCCATAGCAAGCAGCTTGCTATGGAAGCACCCAAACAGGCACGCTCCTGAGCTCCTGAGCTCCTGAGCTCCTGAGCTGCTGCTCCATGTGTCCATTCACACAGGGAACCGAGGCTCGGCCTCTCCCCTTCTGTCTCCTTATTGGCTCACTGTCTGTGATCGACAACAGAGGGAGCCATTGGTTCCTGCTGCTGTCTCAGGGAGCCACGGCTCAGCCCCTCCCCTTCTGTCTCCTCACTGGCTCACATCGGTGATTGACAGCAGAGGGTGCCATTGGCTCGCGCTGCTGTCTCAGGGAGACGCGGCTCAGCCTCTCCCTTTTTGTCTCCTCATTGGCACCCAAACAGGCTCGCTCCCGAACTGCTGCTCCATGTGTCCATTCACACAGGGAGCCGAGCCTCAGCCTCTCCCCTTCTGTCTCCTCATTGGCTCACTGTCTGTGATCGACAGCAGAAGGAGCCATTGGCTCCCACTGCTTTCTCAGGGAGCCGCGGCTCAGCTTCTCCCTTTTTGTCTCCTCATTGGTTCACTGCCTGTGATTGACAGCAGAGGGAGCCATTGACTCCCACTGCTGTCTCAGGGGGCTGTTACTCAGCCTCTCCCTTTTAGTCACCTCATTGGCACCCAAACAGGCTCGCTCCCAAGCTGCTGCTCCATGTGTCCATTCACACAGGGAGCCGAGCCTCTCCCCTTCTGTCTCCTCATTGGCTCACATCTGTGATCGACAGCAGAGGGTGCCATTGGCTCCCACTGCTGTCTCAGGGAGCCGTGGCTCAGACCCTCCCCTTATGTCTCTTCATTGGCTCACTGTCTGTGATCGACAGCAGAGGGAGCCATTGGTTTCCACTGCTGTCTCAGGGAGCCGCAGCTCAACCCCTCCCCTTCTGTCTCCTCATTGGCTCACATCTGTGATTGACAGCAGAGGGTGCCATTAGCTCCTGCTGCTGTCTCGGCCAATGAGGAGGCAGAGACCTGGGACAGCCGAGGTTCCTGTGCACATCACTGGTGTTAGAAGGGGCTGGGGGGGAGCTGCATACAGAATGTTTTTTACATTGAGCCTTTACAACCACTTTAAGGCATCCAAGTGGGGACCCAGAGAGAGCACTCATTAGCGCCCCCAAAGGTGGCGGGCTGAGGCTGCCATTTAAGGCAGGGCTGGCACTAAGGTAGCACTCCGATAACTCCTTGTCAGTCGTGGCACTGTTCTTTAACTCATTACACTCTGTACCAGGGGCGGACTGATAACTTATGGGGCCCCCTGGGCAATAGGGGATCATGGGGCCCCTGTGTCCTTGCCCACACTCAAAGCACACCAAAAAAGCCTATAAAAAAGGTACCAGGGGCATTTCATGGGGCCCCCTACTGACCCCGGGCCCTCATGCAGTGCCCGAGTGCTCGAATGGTCAGTCCACCCCTACTCTGTACAGTACAAATAGCAGTTCATTGTTACACTTCATGACTCTCCTCTCTGTATTGTGCAGCATTCCTGAGCCGATACCACTGATCCTGCACAGGACTCCACCTACCCAGTGACCCATCGCCCCACTCCCATTGACATTGATCCGTATATTACATTGAATACTAGGAAGTTTGACTCTTACACAAAACCCACGCTTACTCTTCTCCCAAAGCCTCACTCCATCTTCCGTGACTTCCATTCTGGGTCCCTAGGATGCCCCACGCCATGATGTCATTCCCATGTTGGGGTACCAGTCACTAATAGTGGTCATAGATTATTTGAATCTCATCCGGCTCAGCAACTACCGGCCAAGATTCAATCCATCTTAAAAATATATATTTTTTTTAATATATTCTTCAGATATTTTTTTAACATATAAAAAAAGTCTTTTTAGCATATATTTTTGCATATATTTGTAAATGCATTCCAAACATGTAGATTAAATGTATTTTTAAAGACATACGGTATATTTGAAAAGTTATTTGAAAAATATTTTTCATCTATTTTGTAATATATAAAAAACGCATTTCAACATACAGTATATATATATATAAGGCAGTAATATGGGTGGAGTGCACAACAATGATCAATCACAGTGCATAGCAATCAGGCCCTCCCAAAGGTCATATATAGAAAAAAGAAAATTGGATTGCTGCACATAAAAAACTTTTATTCTTGAAAATCACCATATAAAAGGGTGATCCAAAAAGACGGACAAAGCCGTACATCACCCCATGAAATGGACAGGAAGTGAGGAAAAATCCCTTTGCACAGGGGCACAGACAGTCAAAAAAAAAGTAAAAGCTGCAGTCTGTATATTTAAGTCAGTAGGGGGCCCCATGAGATGCCCCTGGTACCCTTTTCATAGGCTTTTTTGAGTTTGACCAAGGACACAGGGGCCCCATGATCCCCTATTGCCCGGGGGCCCCATGAGTTGTCAGCCCACCCCTGAGATATATATATACAGTGGCGTATTTAAGTTTTGTGCTGCTCTAGAAATCACAGAAATCAGAACCCCTGCCCACAGAAAGAGCCTGACATTGACCAACAACACCCCTGCTCCCACCCGGAGAGAAAGTCCTTTACAGCTCCGGACATCTCTGGGAACAAGAGTCAGGCTCTGCATACACCATCAAGCAGTTCGCAGCCACTCTCGGCTCCCACCTGGTCCCTATGTCGCAAGTGTCCCTTAT